CTACTAGTAACAAGTGCCTTACTAGTAGTAACAAGAAGCTATTAGAAACAAGGGCATCGCTACTAGTAATAAGTGCCTTACTACTAGGAGCAAGAAGCTACTAGGAGCAAAGGGCATCGCTACTAGTAACAAGTGCCTTACTAGTAGTAACAAGAAGCTATTAGAAACAAGGGCATCGCTACTAGTAACAAGTGCCTTACTACTAGGAGCAAGGGCATCGCTACTAGTAACAAGTGCCTTACTAGTAGTAACAAGAAGCTATTTACCAGGCTACCGCCTGCAGCCGCCGACCCCCAAGGGATAGAACCTTAGCGCTAGCCTTGCTCTATGTTAGCCTCAGCCTTAAGCCTTAGCCTTAGCCTTAAGAGTGCAGACCCAACCCAGCACCACCAAAGCAGGTACCCAAAAGGTCGACTTTTTGGGTACCTCCCAGATTTACCATCGGACGTCAGCTCTTGCATGAACCCCGATCATTGCCCAAGAATTTAGACCCAACCCTTCACCACCAAATCAGGTACCCAAAAAGTCGACTTTTTGGGTACCTCCCAGGTTTACCAATTTAGACCCAACCCAGCACCACCAAAGCAGGTACCCAAAAAGACAAAGCCTAGAGCATTCCTAGGAAAATGCCAGAAAAGCCTTTGAAAATCTCATAAGCCAACAGAAAACGTGACAAAATCTACGAAAAAGCAAGGGCATTGTCCGGGACCATGCCGCGACCAGCCCGGGATTCGAGCCCAGGACCATTTTGGACCGTGCTTATTTTCCCGCGCGGGTCGAGAGGGTGCCCCAAGATGTAAATCAATTGGGATGGCAGAATCTTGGACAATCCAGGTGACCATCAGGTCGCTTTTAGGGCGGGATTTCGTCACTGCAACAAGGGTCCGGAGGGGTAGGGGAGGTAAGGTCTAGGTCTAGGTCTAAGGCTAAGGACTAGGTCTAAGGCTAAGGACTAAGGCTAAGGCTAAGGCTTAAGGCTAAGGCTAACATCGACAGTCACGCCTCACCCCACGGTGTGGGGTCGGCGGATTAGAAACAAGGGCATCGCTACTAGTAACAAGTGCGTTACTACTAGGAGCAAGAAGCTACTAGGAGCAAAGGGCATCGCTACTAGTAACAAGTGCCTTACTAGTAGTAGCAAGAAGCTATTAGAAACAAGGGCATCGCTACTAGGAGCAAGAAGCTACGTTCGGGGCTCCTGTGACTCTTTGGAGTCTTCAGACGAACGTTGTTTGGCAGTTAGTTGCTTCAGGGCCCATTGCTTCGTTGAGCAGCACACGCCAACAGAGGACAAGGCCAAGGTCCGGTTCCAATTGCCACGATATGTGCCTTTAAAGTCATTGAAACATGTCAAAAGCAAAAACACGTGTAGTCAACCAAGTCAAACCCGAGTTAAAACTGTTAGAGCCCTTTCTTTCTTGAGGTGCAATCACCGGGGTGGGTTGATTTGTTTTGGACAGCCGTCAATGGTTTTCAACCGTGTCAACCACCGTGCCTAGGTCACTATCATTGGCTCTCATGCAGAGGTAGACGTGTGCAAGAAGGCTTCTGGTGGGCCTTTGTGCTGTTGCTCTTTGTACAGATGTTGTTCAGATGTGTTTGATGCTCTTTGTCATTCTCCGTTGCCCAAATTCCTTTCTTGCAAAGACACATGAAAGCGAGCTGAACCTCAGGTTGTGAACGGCATTGTGGACGGCTCGCTAAGCTACTTCCTGATTTCTTTTGGAACGCATGGTTTGTTGTTGGAGAAACTATCCATGTGATTGCACGTGGTTGGTCGTGTTTGCAGACATTTGCGGCCATTTCACTGTTTCCGCCAAGGTCCGCAAGTTTTGGTGCAACTTGCAGCTCAAGCTGCTCAAGCGATGCCACCTGAATGCTCGGCTTGTTTTGCGGACACCGTGGCAAGAGCTTTGGTCAACTCATGTCAGACCCAGGACGAGCTTTGACTGCCCTTCTTCGATACGTCGTTTCTATTATTTCATGAGAAAGGTGTGTAAAGGAGAGTCTTGGCCAGGCCCCTTCCCTCGCCTTGCCTGGGGCAGTCTGGGATTCACGGTCAAACCTCAGACACGATACATAAGACAAACCAAGCCGTCCTACATGGCCAAGATAGCTAAAAATTGAAGAGGGCTCGAGCAGCTTTGCAATGGAATAAAATCAGGGTAGGACTTGTGCTGCATAATATGCGAGCAGTTGATAGCAGTTGTGTCTTTTCGTTTGAGAAGCTGCGTGAGAGGTATAATGAGCGATGCGCCCCGTCTCTGATAATGGCAGACTCCTACTTGAATTCGTAAGCTTCAGTAAGCATAAGCCTAGTCAATCACCACGCATCTTGAATCACATATCGGATTGCTGCAATCCCAGCAATTCAGGCTATGAAACTGGTAGCACAAAGTACCACCGGCCGACAGACAAATCGCAGCAGGTTGCTGCAAAGTTCGAGACATGTTCAAATAACGGCCAACTATGAACACCTTCGTTCTTGTTCACACACTCCTCAACTTTAATGCCCAAATCTTCACATTTAGCCCAAGAATAGTGTTCTTTCGGGTGTGGACACATAGATCTGATAAACATGCACAACACAACCAGCAAAGATATGCTGGAAAGTGCAACGCTTTTGCAAAGCATTCGCATACACCTGCATCTCATGCATCCACAATTTTCCCCTACTATACTCCTACTTGAGCAACAGTTGACGTGGTGATGCCAAGGCTGCTCCGACTGCTGCACCTTTGGGACTGCCACCTGCTGGGGTCCGGAATCTAAGGGCTGGGATTTCCCCACAAGTTTGAACCGGCTTACCGGTGTTCCTTCCTATTAGGTTGGAGGCCATCGCTATTAGGTTGGACTTTTTGCCAAGGCACTCAACCTGGGAGCTGGCTTGGCCGGCTTGAGCATCCTTGTCTGCACTGTGGATCACGTGATCCTGGGGTTCTATTCACTTGTGGTCTCATTGTCACCACAAAAGCGGTACTCAATAACTTGCAATCGCGTTGGCCAGGATGTACAGTAAACGGATCGTCCTGTGCCTTTTGTGCGAGTTTAATTGCAAACCTGGCGCAAAGAGTGGTTTCAGCTTGGGTACAGACCTTCGGACCTTTGGGCTTTGCCCGAAGGCAAAGCAAAGCCTGTGCCGTTCTTTCATGAAGAGCACCCTAGCTAGACTCATGCGCAATATTCTCCAGACAAGCTCATTGAGACATTGTGCTCTCATTTCCCACTGGTCAGCTAGGATCGCTTTCAGGTCTGCCTGGTGGCGCGCCCCCTCCGCTTGCCGCCGATTTCCAAGCATTGCTTATGGTGCAAATGACATCCTGGAGGTTTGTACCATGCATGTTCTTGACAACTGCCGATTTCAAGGGTCTCAAAATTTTGAGCAGCACCTGTTTCATTCTTGGGAGAAGAGTCCCTGGTCTTAGCTATTTTGTCCTTGTTCGACCTAGGCCGGTGCCCTTGGCCTAGCTCAACCAGCATTGCCTGGATTGGCTCGGTGTCCTGGACCATCACAAAGTAGACATAGTGTTTTTATAAGAGCACCTGATGTCAGCCAGTATTGGCCAGTATGCGCGTGGGAGTGATTCGGGAGAGTTCTGAAGAAGCATTCTCTCCTCGCGAACCTTTAAGCCGTCAAGTTACATGCTGCGAGAGAAATGTCTTGAGTTGTATTTTTGTGTTGCACAACATTTTCTATGCTCGCACTTCTTGGCAGATGTCACGGATTACCGTGAACGGATTGGGGAAAGGTTTGTGCCAAAGAACGGCACAAAAGAACCGCAGAGGGAATTCACAACCCTAACAGCACAATCCAATAGCACAAGGATTTGAAGATGTGAAATATATAAAGTGAGCAACTCCGCCAAGGTGAATATTGAAGGCCGCCAAAATTTAGATAGTGTTTGTGAAAGGTTATACAGCAATGATGAATGCAATGATTTATTTTTTTCCCCAATAGCGAAACTCACAAATCTTCAGCCATACTAAAGGCTTTGGAGCAGATCGGAGCAGGTCTCGGAGTGGGTTCCGGAGCAAGTTCTGGAGGAGGTCTGAAGCAAGATCAGGTTCTCAAGCTGGTCTGCGAGCAAGTTGCTCAGGAGGTTCTGGACCAGGTCTGGAGATTCCAGGCAGCAGGTTCTGGAGCAAAGTTCCGGAGGAAGTTGTTGGGAAGGCTCCAGAGCAAGCTCAGGAGCAGGTCCAGATGCCAGAACAAGTGGTTGCAGAGGATGTTCCGGAGGTTCCGGAGCAGGTTCCTGTTGGAAGCGCCGGGGCAAGTTCCGGAGCACTCTGTGAGGCGCTGAGGTGTTGCCATGCCGTTTGTCGCACTGACTTTCTGGCAGGCTCCAGAGCGTGTTTGGGAACATGGTTGCTGGTTCTTGCTTGTAGTGGTACATATGTAAGCACATTATATTTGCTGTGCCGACGTGCTGCTGAGTTGGTATGCTCAGGTGGCACATTGAAAAGGTTCACACTCTTGAAGACAGCATTGTCTGACAAAGACACGGCACTTGTTAGTGAACTTGCGATGGTGCCATTGCCTGGGCGGATTTTAGCACCCAGCTGTTGTTTTTTCTTAGGTTTGTTGCGAAGATTGACAAATTCGGTGACAATGATTTGCAACTACTTTGATGCATGCATTCTGGTATAATGTATTTGATTGTATTTGTATATGCAGGTATGATATTGTATAATATTTTGTGTTTACGTCCCTCATATCACTCTACAATTAGAAAACATCAACAGTTAGATTTCTGAGGCTGGCCTTGATACAAGTGCAGCAGCTCACGTGTGGACCTCGATGAGACTTCTGCTGTTCTGTCCATAGCGATGGCAAGCAGGCATTCACAGAAGGAGCAGCGCCCACCACCAAAGGATCTCGCTTCATTTCAGTTTATGTTTTTCCTTGGATCTGCAGTAGAAAGGAAGGAATAACTCATGGAGACGGAACAATTTGTAGCAGTACTCTCTGTATTCAGTGCTACACTTTCAGGCAGGCATAGCTTGCTTGCAAAAAATCAACCAATAGCAGTTCCAAGATGTTCTATGTTAAACATACCAATGCCTTTAGATTTGGCGTACAGGAGGTTTTAAATCAGGCAGGGGTAACCTTGCGTACGCTTGCCACCAAACCTTATGAAAGCAAGGCAGTTGGTGTCCCGTTCTTGCTCTTACCTTGTTGGCCTCACAGGGGCAGGGGGCGATTTTTTGTTGTTGATTGCTGCATGTCAATAACACCCAACAAGTACTCCGCGAAAAGAAGATCAGCTTTCCAGCAACCAGCAAAAGACATGATTGGCAATTTTCAATAGTTGCTTTGCTTTGGCTTTCCAGCTTTCGTTCAGCAAAGTTATATAAATTATGAGGCACAAAAGGCAAAGTGAGTAGCTTCAGTGGACCATGAAACTGCAAAAACGCTGCGTCATCAGGCTGCTGCTCTTCAAGGAACAGATTTGAATGAGTGAGCCATCGCTGAGATTGAAAGCTTCTGCAAGACGAAGCATTGACACATCTTGTCCTCTCGTGACGATCGAAATCAACCCTTTGTACGCACACTAGGTATTATGCCCGCTGGTGGTCCCAATACGGAGCAGTTGCTGCGAAAGGAGGCACAACAAGAGCATTTGCAAGAGCATTTGACCCATGGAGTTTCTTCTGGTCTATATAAAGTCATTTGATCTCCTTCCTATGCTTGCCGCAGGTGCGGAAGATGCCAATGCAGCAGGTGCGCAGGCGCGAGTCAGCAAGGTCGGCAGCATATGACAGTGGAGTGCCAGTGAGCGCTGATGTTAGGAGGCACAACCAAAGGCAGCAGCATTCGACAAGGACGCTCTGAAGAAGCTTGCAGAGCAGGCGTGCAGTCCGTTTTCCACGAAGGTTCACCAGACAGATTACGAAGAAACCCCGGTGAGGCTGCGAAGAATGCTGAAGTGGAGGAGAAGGAAGAAGAAGAAAGAGCTGCGAGAGAAAAGGCGGCTCAGGAGGCAACTGCATCCACAGTTGTTGAAGTTGAGGTTCAAACATTTCAATCCCTTTTGCTGCATCGTAAAGCGAGCTTGCGAGGCGGCCGCCGTGCAAGCTGTGGTAGCGCAACAACAGGCTGCACAAGCGCAGCAGGAAGCGCAGGCAGCGCAAGCAGCGCAGGCACAGGCCGCACAGGCTGCGCAAGCAGCTCAAGCAGCACAAGCAGCCCAGGCGGCCAAAGCAGCCCAGGCGGCTCAGGTCCAGGCACAAGCCAAAGCGCAAGCTGTCCCAGCTGTCCCCGCTCCTGTTCTCCCAGCGCCAGTTGCACCACCTCCTCCGTCACCGCAGATCCCCCAAATTGTCCCACCCCCACAAGCTCCAATGCCCGGAATCCTTCCAAGCGCTCCAGGCGCTCCTGTAGTTCCACCTCCCCCACCAGGACAGCCAAGCCCTCCAGCTTATGATTTGGAGGCCCTCAAGCGCCTTGCTGGTGGTTTGCCAGGTGCACCTCCAGTGCCTTTGCCAGATTCCAGGGCAGTACCCAAATCTATGGGATTCTCTGGCTTCACGCTGCAGACGAATGCGCCTGCTCAAAGAGACAATGACTCAGTTCAGAAAATGCTGGCACGATTGCAGGGCAATGTCCAAGGGGCCAAGCAGGCACTCTCTGCGACTGGATCGGCACCTGTTCCACTTCCGTTTGTCCAGCACACCTCCCACAAGCTTTCCGGCAATTCCGGACTTGCAGAGGCGGAATGGGAGCCTTTGCAAGAAAATGTCAAGGCAGCAACAAGCAGGTCCGAACTTGAGGAAGTTTCACGGGACTTTTTGAAGAAGTTTGCCTTCTTGAGTGTTGAGCAGATTGCAGAGATTCTCCGGCTTATGGAAGTCAAGGCGGCATCGTATCCGAAGGATTTCTATAGTGAGCTGGGAAGCATGCTCGGGCATAAGCTGAAATCAGCCACCAGTCCACAACTGGCACTTACGATGAGCTCCTTCCTGTACTGGTCAGCGGAGGGCAGGCAACGTTTCATCGATTGCAGCCGTGACTTCTTATCTGTTGCAACTTCGGAGGCGCACTGCCGACAATAGTTGTGTTTCTTGTTCTGCCAGTGCTAAGCAAGCCCAACAAGTGATTCTATGACAGAGGACAAAGCAAGAACACATTATCTACTATATACATCTATATACCAAGACAAACCGTGAAGGTCTCACCCTTCCTCTAACACAAGACCACAGAAGTGTAAGACCCATCAAGGTGCCCACAAGGCTGATGGAGTTGGCACCCCACGAGCTGAACTGCTGCTTGGCTGGCGTGGTCTCACTGGGCTGCTCTGATCACAAGTTCTTTGTGTCAGTCGGAAAGTCTGCCCAGGCGCGTGGGCTATGCAAATGAACGTTGAACATAATGCTAGTACTTTCATTGATGTTTTGCCGAAAACGCCAAACTGTGGGTGTGATGCAGAGCTTCGAGTCAAATGCAAGCAATTTGTTTGCGCACTGGCGCTGAGCGTTTTTTAATGTTTTTTTTCCAAGTCTGTGGAGGCCAGGCACAAAACCTTTGGGCCTAAAGAGCTTGCTTCGCTTCTGACGATTCTGTCCGAAGTGCGTCTGGTACACGTCGATCTCTTCACCTCCGCAGCCCAAGCGATTGCCCCTCGGGTTCGTGAGCTCCGCCCTGCAGAGCTCATGCGCTGCACTAGGGCCTTGTCTCGTTGTGGAGTAAAGAATGAAGCGTTTTGCCAAGCTGTTGGGGATGATATTTGTGGCAGATGGTCTAAACAAGCTGGCTTGCGCTGTGAAGACCTGGTGGAACTATGCTGGTGCTTCGCTGTTCTTGAGGCCTACCATCACGACTTGTTGCAGCTCATGTTTCAGGTGCTCCGCGAAACGCAGAAGGTCTCGGCGGATGCCCTGTGCCAGCTCTATGAGCTTCATTTGTCATTGGAGTCCATACCCCAAGAGCATCGAATGATTGCGCATGCCACGAAGAATTGCAAAAGATATGTTCGCAACTATATATATAATTCATTTGTCCTGCAAATGTTGCCCATGCAGACTTTGCGTGAATTCAACAGTTCTAAGGGCCGAGCACAAAGCCCGATATGCCGCTCTTCGAATAGACGACAAGGCTGTCAGTTCACTTCTTGAGCACTATAAGGTGGGCGTTGGAAAAGCATCGACATTCTCAGAGTTCGTTTCTTATTCGCACTCCAACGCTGCTACAATTGTCTATCAATGTCTATCAATGATCGCAGCTGCCAGGAAAATCGGCGCGAGTGCAGAAGATGTTCTGAGAAAGTGCGAAGTGATATTACGGCTGCAGTCAAAGGCCTCCTAGAGGGTCATGCCAGATTCTCAAATTCTAGGACAGACGAAACTGCATGACTAAAGCACTTTTGCCGAAGTTCTGCAATATTGCACACAATGTCTTAACTTATACTTCAGCTACTGTGAGGTTCAGTCAAACCATCGCACCAGCGTTGGCTTGCTTTCCGCCAGCCCCTTACCTTTGGGTGGTTGGAACAGCCTGGCAATTAAGAACGCCATTCTGGAACATACTATATATACTGTATATATATATATACTGGAAAGGAAGTTGACATTTTGTTGCCTCGGCCTTGTTGGAACACTGTGACTCAGACTAGTAGACTAGACTGTTTGCCAAGTCTTGCTCGTTCTTATGTGTGATACTGTAACACAAAAAATCCAAGCCTTGAGCTATGCATCCACAGGATGTGGCGGCAATGAGAAAGCGCTCATCTACTGATGGTAGGGTTCTCGGGCGCTTAGACCACGGCTCGTCTAACATACGGAGCACATGGAAACACAATACTCTGGGATGGTTGACAGGGGAGCGAGTTCAAACCATCTCTTGCCAGTTCAGGCTACGTGCATATTGACATTGATGGAGCTCTGTCTCTAATCCGCCCAATCGACCAGGACGGTTGTCTGCCGGCAAAGCACAGGCTGTTGGGCCGGGGCTTTGTGTGCAAAGAGCTTCTTTGCATTTCGTTGCTTCCTTGTTTTCCAGGATGAGACGGCAGGCCCACTGGTTGACGGTGCTGTGGCGTTCAGGCGGAGCTTGAGCAGATTGTTGTATTCTGAACAGGTTGCCTAAAGGATTATCCAAGGTGTACGTATTGGGAATGTACCTTTGCAACAACTCATGTACTCTTGCAATCTTGCGTATTGACACTCTGGCTCAAGCGTGACATTTTCACTCTCGGTCCCTGCTCCTTCACTTCCTTTTCTCAAATCGAGCTGTTGGGTCGGGGTTGAAGGAGGTGTGGATTGAAAATTGACATCTAGATTGATCATATCATTGAATCATCCGGAGGGACCCGCTGTTTTTCGGATTTCCCCGGCATTGCTTCCGTGATTGAGGCTGCATGCGCAGTCTCTTTTTATTGGTCATTTCCGGACATGGATTCAAAAGCCCATATCGCAACCTCTCAGCTATTTTGTCGCAGTGCAGCGAAGGCACCAAGACTGCATCCAGAAACTTAAGCAAGTTAAGTTTCCCTAAACAATGTAATTAGGAACCAAATCGACCATGCTAGGGTTCTTCAAGGTTGTGTTGCACTGCAGGCCTTGGCCAGCACCTAGCCTGCGATCTTGGCTGTGCAGCACATGAGAAGGTGCTGGAGGAGTCACTTGAGCACTGGTGGGACCACCAGCTGCGGTGGACCTCGCTGCTTCAAATCTGTACTCGAATACGTCATGCTGCTGCCAGCCACGCTTTCATAGGGCTCATTTTGAAGAAGCGGGTTTACTACAGATGCTGCTCCTTCGAATGTGAGGCCTCGTCACCTCTACAGGGATTGACTGAGGTCGATTTGCTTCTAAGCTTGGTTGCTGAATTGGTACAAGATGCCCAAGCAGAGCTGCCCAACATGGTTTTCCTCTTCAATACAGGTGACCAGCCCTTCACAGACAAAGCTTACTGGAGCCCAATTCCGCAATTCCACTGGGTCCGGAGCTTTGGTCACTGGACAGTGCCATTGCCAAACCCCTTTCATCTCAAGGCTTATGCCAGGAATCTCTTGGGTGATTCATCTAGACACACAAAGCAACATGTGCATTGGCCTCAAAAGATTCCCAAAATCTTCTGGAGAGGCTCCCTCTCAGCTCCGGACAACTTTGCACATGACGACATGTCCAGCTTACCGCGGGTACGGCTCTTGAAGTTGGCGAGAGAGCACCCCGATCTCTTCGATGTTGGGATCACCAACATAGAGTCTCGGTCCACGAATTGTTTGTTTTTGCTTTTGGGTGGGTTGTACTGAAAGGCGGAGGTAAGGTAGCTACGGCAGCTACGGTAAATATAAGCTAGTAAGACAGAAGTCCTGTCCGTGTCGAAGTGGTTCCTAGATCTTGAGGCAAATGCTGCAAAGCAGAACAAGCACAAAGTATAAAGAGCAAAGCACTTGTAATATGCATATATACATATTGAATAGACATAGTTTTAGTTGCTGTTTAGGAGCCTAAACCGTTCCGAGATTTTTTGATTCCGCTTGTAGGATAGAGAGATCTACAAAGTTGCTGGTGTATCGAACATCAAAGACTTAATGGAGAGTCTGGGCGGGACAGTGAAGCGCAGAAACCTTACTCGAGAGATGCCGCGATATCGATACTTGATAAATGTGGGTGCCGTGCTTTCCTCCTGGAGGCTTGTAGATTTGCTGGCCACCAAATCTGTTCTGCTCCTTCAAGAAAGCTCAGATAGTGAGCTCGTAATGGAATGGCTTGTGCCATGGCAACACTACGTCCCAATCAGTCCTGGGCTGTCTGACCTTATTGAGAAAGTTCAATGGCTCAACGAAAATCAAGATGTTGCTGAATCGATCGCCGAGAAGAGTTTTCAGCGCTTCAGTGAGCGGGTGCGGCGTCACGACACCTTGTGCTACATGTGGCAGGCCTTTCGAGCTGTCGCAGATATACAAACACAAGCAACCCTGGAAGAACTGAAAGAACTTGAGGCACAAGTTGCACAAGGTGACTGGACGGAAGTCAAAGCTGTGCTTGGCTTACTGAAAGAGCGAGAGAGACTTTCAGAGAAGGATAACCCAAAGATTGAAGCCAATGACATGGAGCTGTGAAGATTGCCAATTTAGCAAGCAGCACTCTCGATTGGCTTGATCAAGATCACACTGGAGTTGACCCTGTATCGAGATGTTTCACTGAAGTATAGAGACAGGGAACAACCGTTGGCCAGTCGTGCCAAGCTTGGATGATATCGAACAACTTGCACGAACACTGTGCTTGGCTCAACGCTGTCGCCAAAATGTGAGTGGAGGGTTTCGTTCAAAATAGCAATGCAAATATACAAATGGCTTTTGTCTATGTTTGTTCTTGGCCAGGCGACGGATCTTGCAAAAGAACGGCCTGCGCGTGGCCACTGTCAGGGAAAGTGATTGGAAGAACTTAGAGGATCAGAAGGAGACAATGCATTTTAGATAGTTTGAGATCAGCAAACATTTCATGAGAAGTCTGAGAAGTCCAATTCTAACAAACTCGCACCTCTCAAGTGTACGATGTTGCCATGGCACAGGAGAAGCGGCGGCACCTGCGATCACTCTTATCAGCTCTGGGTGATGTGCTGGAATGATGGCTTGCTTGATCCTACAGACCAAAAGTTTCATTGCTTGGTTCCAATTTCTTGCATCAGACATTGTGGTGTACTTTAGCACGCGTGGTTTTGCTGAGGGTATGCATGATGTTTGATGTATTTCAACACCATTGAAGAAATAGTCATGCCATCGAACTGATTTGGATTTTGAGCAAGCACATTCTTTGTTTCTTTGCACTTCGGGGCGACCATTAGAGGCAGTTATACGTTGACGCTGAGGAGCTAGAAAAAAGAACATGTGTTTTGCGCTGAATGCCTCAAATGCAACGGCATAAACCAAATGATGGCAGCGTGCCGCTGCTGTAATGCTGAGAGCATCCCATTTCTCGCAGGCGTTTGGTATTCTCTTCTTCTGCAACGGTTTACAGGTAGGACTCTCAGTTTGTTTTGTCCTCCAGACCTCCTTCAAGAAAGGCTTCTGTGATGAAGTAGAGAACAGGCCTGAAGATCAATGATTCTGTTCCTATTGTTTGTATGGGCTTAGACCTTACGAACTGTGTACAGCGCATGTAAGATAGAGCCATGCTCTTGCGGTTGTTCCCAGCATCCTACTTCTCAATGGTAGGCCGAGCATGGACTCTTTTAAAGAAAGACTTCCAAGAAGGGTTAGGACCTTTGGCCCAGTGGCGACCTTCAGTTAGTGCCTCGCAGAGGATGCCACCACCTGTTGAAAGCCACTCAGGCGAAGCGAGGCTCACATTTCGACCAGATCGACAACGCCCATCACGAGCGTCGCTGCAGATGCCTACGTAGCAGTCTCAGTTTCTACCTGGCGGTGCTCCGCAGCAAGCGCCGAGCCCTTTCTCCATGCTGAGCCAATGCGACGGCCGCAGCGGCTGCAAGCTTACAGGCTCTGCAGCAGCTGGCCACCAGTGCTTTGAATCAAGCCATGGCAGCTGAGCAAGGACCACTGCTCATGGAGTGGGGCACCAGCAATGCTCACATCTTGGCTCAGCTCCGCGTGCCCAATGTCAATGCGCGCGCCGTCCCTGGTCCTTGACAGCTCTCATTGCTTCGACGAGGCTACAGGTGCATCGGCACATCCTCCTCAAGCGCCAACTCTTCTTTGAGTCAAAGACCAGTGCTGCGATCGTTGCCTACAAGAGTCGCAACTTCCTGTGGCCCTTGGGCCGCCCTGACGTGGTTGCCAACAACTCAAGCAATATGTTTTCTAGAGCCATGCAGCGCGGACGTCTGGTCGGATAACAACAGCGGGCAGACACTGCAGGCCAAGCCTAAGATTCCCAAGGCCGAGGGAAACACTAACAACAGCCCAAGCCCTCCACACCATGCTTTTTATGCAGGGTTGGTTGAGGGAATGACACCAAGCAATCCAGGTGCAAAACTGAAGCAAGAAGCCAGCTCGGCTGCAAGTGCTGTGCGTCAAAGTGCTGTATTCGTGGGGATGCCATCCCCAATGCACGAAGCCATGTGGCTTAAGCCTAGTGTGCACTGGCTAGGCGAATTCTTTCTGAAGAGCTCCAGAGCCAAAGCGCTCATGGAGGGCCGGGAGCCAGCGGCTCTGCGGGTAGCGGGCGGGCGCATGCGGACGAAAGCGGCCGCTGCTCATGAGATCCCCATATTGGATCTACCGAAAAAAAACAGCAATGCAACTGATTTTTGTCAAGTGGGTATGTTTTTGTCGCCGGACGCCAGCCGGAGGTGAGGATGTCAAAGGATACAGGAAAATGGGGTTGGGGAAGTAGAAAGCATTTCATTAGGCTTGTGTTTGACGCAGCCCTCATGTGTTTATCGCTACTGTGAATTGGGTTCGCAGAGAATATCACAACAGTGTTTTGGAAACAGCGCCCAATGGAACTTGCGTTGAGGCCATGTGAGGAGCCCATTGACGAGTCCAAGGACTTGGGGTGCCAAAGGCTCAAATGAAGGATGTCTTAGCAATTTCTGGCAAAGTTCAACAGGTGATTCGTGTCATCAGCAACACGGTTGTCATGTTTTCCATCACGCCAAGGCACAAATCCGTATGGCTGGACAAAGTTTATGATTGAGCAGGTGCAGAGCAGCCCGAAGAATTTGTATATGTGTTTTTCATTTCTTGTCCTATCCAATCAAAAGACGAACCACTAGTGTGCCAAAACATGCTAGATAGGCTTCATGTGCGTCCCGCCCGTATTTGTGCCAGATCTTGTCTGGTTTTGCAGTAGCCAACCCAACGTTCTCGGCATCTTGGCGATCGGGAAATTTTCCGAAGTCAGACATATGTGATTAAATGGAACAAAGTTTTGGATGGACGTGTAAGGAAACCAACGTGCCTAGGCATTGATGCAAACGCGCAGTTGGATCGTTGCAACCAACTCTGCCTGACAATTTACACCGCAATTTTGATTCTGATACAGAGCATACAATTCAATCGCTTTTGAGCCAAGATATCGATCTTGCGCTACTTCAACCCCGTTGGGGTGGTGCTGGCATTTTGGTTTTATTCCAGCCAAGTGTTCATTTTTGTATGGTTTTTGTTTGCTGGATCATGAGCTTGCGTTTGATTGATTTGCGAACAATGTTCTTTGAGGATCACTTTCAAAAACACACTCTTCTGTGATGGCAATCTGGAGGGCTGCCTCTACACGTTCGGAGGTCACGAAATGGTGCCACATAATCAGCAAATCCAGGGTGCTGAATCTCATGTTTACAAAGGACATTTGGTCCGGATGCGACGGAAACATGATGATTGAAAAAGGCTTGTCTGTTACTTTTACAGACAAACCTGTAAATTGTTATATAGTTTCTGGATTTTTGTAGATGTGAGGGCAGAAACTTCTAAGAAGAAAACAAAGGGCAAGCATGGGCAATCAAAACATACCAGTGTTGTTGGATGTGATGTATGTTTTTCTTCTTGAGGTGAGTTCCTCTCAATTAGTTCTGCATGTGTTTACTAGCTTGGGCACCTGTTACGGACCTACGGGATTTCCTATTCCTAGTTTTTTGTTCAGTAGTTGATTTTTCAAGAATGTCATTGAAGTGGTTCCGCATTTTTCAGGTGGTAGATAGTAGGTTCTTGACCGCGGTTAGGGTTGCAGTTTGACGGTGATGACGTAGTAGTCTTTTGCTGTAGTTTTCCATTTGTACCTTTGATGATGTAGACTGATGGGTTTCATTTTGAATTCAGTAGGTTCTCACCAACGATAAATTCTAGGTTCTTGCCTTCTTGCAGCAAAATTTGTTGATGGGTCCTTCCTCGCGATGGTGAAGTACTACGTTTTCGCTAGTGATCTGACACGCCTTACTGAGCCTTACTGGTTCTTTTGGCCGCTGGTAAAGTGGTCCTTTGAAAGGCTGGTGAGATTACATGTGTTCGCTGCAGGGGAAGCTTGGCTACTTTATTTGGTTTCGTACCTTCCTTGACACATCATTCTATTTTACCGGTTTCAACTCTTCTGTAACCGGTGATCTACCTCTAGTTACTTTCCTTTAGGTTGCCTACGTGTCTCAACTTTTCCCTTTCTTCAAACACTCGTTTCCCCTCCTTGCTTTTGATGCTGTTCCTGTATGCATGTTACATGTTATCGACAAGGCTTTCTGCACTTGCTCACACTTTTCTCTGCCCACTTTTGTACTTTGGGCTGCTACAATCAAATGTTGAAGTCGTGGCAATTTTCTATTTTGTGAAGCGTTTCCATTGGGGGTTTGAATGTTTGGAAGTCGTGGCGATGTCGCGTTTGGTTAAGTAAAGTGTAAAGTGCCCCGTCCAAAGAGATGCTAAGAGACCATAAGGAGGTTAACATCATTGCTAAATCAATGCGTTTCCATGCAAGAAGCTTGCTGTGAATACATGACATCTGTGCTAGGGAAGGAGTTTCAGAACACATCAAAAACATTGCCAAATCATCACGAAAGGTAGCCCTTTAGGGGATACCTTGAGTTTGTCTTGCGAAGCAAGTGTTGGGACGTCCGGGTCTAATAATTGATCATTCAATTCAAACCCCCCCCCCC